ATATGGATCATTTTCCCATCAAATTAATTTAATTGTGTTTGTTTTATGTTGGAAATTATTTTAATATTATTATTTGAATTTTTATGAACCCTTGGATATTTTATTTATAATTTTTGGATTTATAAAATTAAAGATATTGATTTTACAATTGTTTAAATATTCAAATAATATTTTAAAATCTTTTTATTAATTTTAAATATATAAAAATATCATGGGGGCCCCCATTGTGCACATGAGCTCGCCATATTTTTAAAAAGTGGGGCCCATGAGTGCCTCCCTTGGGTGGCATGCCCCACCCTTATTCTCTTTCCTATTTTTTTTTGGTGATATGACATGTGGTCATATGGTTGGAAGATATTGACTTGATATATCTTTGAAAGATTTTGTGGAAATATTGAGTAGACTTGTGCTATTTTATGATGAATAAATGGTTTAAGAAAGGGGGATAATGGTTCATGCACATTCTATAGTGTTGATGGCCCATCTATGAAATGAATGACTCAAATCTCTCACCCCACAAGTCACCCTTGATCGACGGTATTTGTTCAATCTTACAAGAAGAGTCAAGTCAAAGAAAACCCTAAAAAACCCTAATCTTATTCAAAGCCTATAAAAATGGATTGTCTCTACCGAAAAAAATCTCTACACCTTATCCTTCTATCTCTTTTTTAAAAAAGTTATCTCTCCCATGTTTGATCTTTCTCTCACACATTGTGAAAGAACCTAAGGGTTTAGGTTATGGAATTCTTCTATCTTATCTCTCAAATATAGATTTATGACTAAGGGTTTTAGGGTTTAGCAAAAAGAGAATCCATCTCGCTCAAACTAGGTTGTTAAGAGAATTCACCTAGGGTTTGAGTTTGTGATCAAAGGGGTTCATGTTCCATTGGTGTGGCTTGATTGAAATTTGCTTTCTCGGTTCGAGATTGAAGCTAAACCGTTGATCCCGTGTCATCGGATGGTGGTGACGGTGTGGGATATAATAAGCCTGGTTGAAGTAATCTCCGACACTCTTTTTTTTGTTTCTTGCAATCTTATCTTTTATTCTCAAGCATAATGCATAGTTGTTTCAATGACATCAAGTTGTTAAGATATTGGTTTTATTGTTATGTTGATTTTATTTTGAAATTTATCTTATTATAATAAAGACCACTTGTAAGTGATCTTTTGTCAAAAGAAAAAAATAAAAAAATAAAAAAATAAATAAAAAATAAAAAATTTCGTTGGTAAAAGATCACACAGATCTTCCTTTTAAAACTCTCTTCATAGAAAAAAGAAATCACCCTGATATTGGAGTGCCTACGTATAGAAACTCCTTAAACTATTTTTGCCATTGTCATAAATCAACGAACTCCCTATTCTTCTCAGTGTGATAAATAAGTGAACTCACTGTGTGCTTTCTTTCGATATGTGACCCCACTATATGCTAGTCTTTGTCTTTCCTTTCATTTAATGCTGTCATTGGATTCAATCTAAAGCTTAAGAGGAAGTTTGAGGACCTATAAATACATTGTCTGGCGAAATTCATTACTAGCGAACTAAAGAGAAAAGCATTCAAAACGTAGATTCAAAATTCATGGGAAGTTTACTCATGAAGCATTTGAGTAGAATCTTTTCTAGGTTTAGGATATAACGGTGGCTTCGTTTCTCAATACCCTTGTAGTGAAAGTGCTCAAGCATGGCTCACTAATGATAACAAGGCTTTCAATCAATGATATTTTACATAATGTTTTTTTTTTTTTATTCACAGATATTTTACAGAATGTTATAGAGTTCCAAACTGCAAACAACCCAGATTCCAACCCCCACTATGATCTAATGTTTACTTGTGACAGTTTATTACTTCCCCAGTGTCACTGCCTACCAAATACTTACTAAAATCTAAATTGATGAGATTTGGAGGCTTCATTTGATAGCTTGGAGAGTCAATCCAACTCAGCTCTTTCTATTTTCAGGATAAAAGTGGAAAAAAAAATTCAACGAACTGTAAAAATCACAAAATGGCTTCTGTACCACATAAAAAAATAATAATAATAATAATAATAATAATAATAATAATAAAAACCAGAAAAGTACAACAGAAAAAACCATACCCATCTTTTCTAAGTACAAATTGTGTTTCTATACCCAATAAAATAAGCCAAAAATATAAAATCAACAAATTTCCATGGGGAAATCATAGAAAAAAATATTTGCATTGGTATATAAAATAGTCAGCACCCATCTAGAGGGAAAAACCAGAAAAATCATAATAATAAAATCCATACCCCTCGTTGAAGAAGATAAAGGAAAAATCAGGAAAATCATAAGAATAAAATCCATACCTTTGTTGAAGAAGATGATGTATTTTGTATGGGGGTGCCTACGAGGGAAACCCCACCTTGTTTCGTGAAGAATCTTTACACTATGATGAATAAAAACCAGAAAAAAAATTAATGAATACCTACCAAAAAATTAAGAATACCTTGTTGAAGAAGATGAAAGCTTGATCCTTGCTCGTGGGCTTGTGAGAGAGGACATAGAGGGTTGAGAAAGAGTGGCGAGGGAGGCTGCGCGAGAGAGAATTCTGGTCGGGTTTTGAGGTTTCTGAAATTGTAAAACATGTTATCCTTTCTAAATTTCAGATTGAGTAGAGGATGGTTCCGAAAAGTTAAATATTGACTATTGGATGAAAGACACTTCGTGTTATCAATCTTTTCTAAATTTCAGATTGAATATAGGAGGTTCCGAAAAGTTAAATATTGACTATTGGATGGAAGACACTTCCTGTTATCAATCTTGTAAACTTTAATGTAATAAAGAAGTGTAAATCACATTAACATTGACTATTGGATGTGAAATTGGGTAGCTGCAATTACTTTATTGACCAAGCTCAAATTTCAAAATAATTGTTTTAGAACTATATGACACATTCAAGATAACAAATTTCACATCGAATGGTGGTAACTTGTAAGTAATTATGAGCACATTGTATAAAAGGTAAATGGTTTCATTGTATACCATCCCTAAAGAGAAATAGTTTTATAGGCCACAATCCTAAAAAAATAAAAATAAATAAATAATAAAATAAAAAATAATGTAGTTCTACGAAACTTAGGCCTTGTGGAAAAGAAAGAAAGAATAAAATCTCACCTTAGAATCTTGTTCAAAAAACAATTCGGGCAAAGGAAATCCCCAAAATAGTTGTATAATCTATTTCCACCACTGATTATGAAATTTGTAGTTAAAAGAACTGTATAGATAGTGGATTTCAAAATACTTAAAAATGTACAATTGAGATAACTTGTTAGAATATATGTTTTCTCTTACAATATACATTTTTTATAGGGCTTGAAATCTTTTGCTTTTTTTGTTTTTTTGGACGATCATTTGTTCTATACCACTGGCGTATTTTGAAAAGGGCTCCACCTTTTACGAGGGAAAAAGTTGATATAAGGATGAGACCCCAAACGATCAAATTAAGTTTCATCTCAAAAATTCATTAAAAGATGTTGTTTCGATTCTAAAAAATCCTCAAATTGAGCATCTTGACCTGAATATATATAAATATAAGAAAAAATAAATTTCAAGTCTTGAAAATAATGTATTTTGTAATACATTATTTCGACCGTTAATTTTCAATATTATTAAATGTTCATAATCTACACTATGTTGTGAGCTTTAAATTTTAGAGCGATTTACGACCCAAAAACTTTACCTGAAATACAAAATAGAGTAATTTTGGGTAAAAATTATATGGAAGGTTGGATGATTTATATTTTTTTTATTTCTTTCAAAATGACATCTCAATAAATATATGACTATTGATAGAGCAAAATATCGGATTAAGATTAATAAGAAAAGGTTTGACAATAAACATGAGTTTAAAAGAAAAGAGAGAAGTGAGAGGTGGAGAAGAAATTGATAGAGACAGATTGAATGAAGTTTAAAGATAGGAATATTTAAGGGGAGAGAGAAGAAATCGACGGAGAGGTGTACGTGGATAAGTAACTAGAGAGAGAAAGAGGAAGGAGTACATGGATTGTACGCCATAGTGACTGAAAAACTACATTTTAAAAACCATTTATAGCATGAGAGAAAATTGAAGGATACAAGGTTGCAACTTTAAACAATCTAATTAAGGTACATTTCTAAAATTTATCGTAATGGGTAATTTTGTTGTAAATTTTTTTAAATTTATCTTGAAAACTATTTTTCATATCTAATTAGAAAATTTTAAACTTCAAAAAATGGCTAAAATCTAGTAGAACTATAAATATATGAAAATCTTGAAAATAGACGGTCTAGATAATGTGTTGCAAGATGTACTATTTTTGGGTCTCAATTTTTTTTTTTAATATTTATATATCTCGATGTCGAGATGATCAATTAGGGGCTTTTTCAACATTAAAACAACTATTCCGATAGATTTTTGAGGTGCATATGTGATTCTATATTTTATATAAACTTTTCCCTTTAATTACAAAAAAACGTTTATATAAAGATGCTATCTTATAATGTAGAATTACGGATGCCCCTCAAAAATTCATTGGAATAGGTAGTTTTAATATTGAAAACCCTTTTAATTGATCATCTCGACATAGAGATGTATGACTATGAAAAATAAAAAGATTTTAAGTCTAACAAATAATACATTTTACAACATATTATCTATACCGACCATTTTCAACATTTTCATATGTTTATAGATCTATTTGATTTTAATTATTTTTAAAACTTAAAATTTTATAACTAAATATAAAAATAGATTTTCAGATAATTCTAAAAATATTTTATATTAAAATTATATATCATAATAAAATTTGGAGGTGGACCTTACCTTTACGGCTGCATTCGTATGCCAACTGCACCAAATAGACACATATTTGCACGATGGCAGATATGCCGTTAGATTATTCATAGTTCGTATCGTATCCTCATCATACACATCATGTGTATGCTACATCATTTCTTACATGTTAAGCAACCATGAACAGGTCTCTCTCTAAGATATAAAGATCAACGACTCTCTCGGTCTAAAAACTCGCGAAATCCACTCTCTCTCTCTAGATTTCGTTACATCCAGTCTTTGGCTCCGTTTGTACGATGTCGTCCACTTTGGACGTAAGCTGTCTTATTTTCCATTTTTTCTTGTTCTCTGTGACTTTTCACCGCGGTTTTTTTCTCTTTATCTCGCAATTGCGGGCAAACAGGGGCAATTATGGGCAAAATACTATGACAATTAGTGTTTGATCCAAATCTGCAATTTCATCCCAATCTCCTTGTTCCTAATCTATACGCTTTTGGTTTTTGCCATTGTAGTGTTTTTAACATGTCTGTAGACGATGAAATTTTGTAATTTTTCGTTCTAAGCAGGGTAAAGAGACCCAAAACTCAACCTCTCGGACTGTTAAAGGTACCAAGTTGTAGTGTGCTAATTCTGATTTATTTTTTATTTTTTCCTTTTTGGGTTTTTATAGTGATTCAGTGAGCTTCATCTTGTTGATAATAGTCCACTTATAGGATTCTATCTTTAGTTCCATTATTTCCCTGTTTTACTTTAGTTCCTTTCTGGTCATGTAAAATTTTGTGTTGTCTTTTCTTAATCTAAGTTGCCATTTCTGGTGTTGTAGTAGTGGAGATTAGCGCAGGTAATAAAATTTCTAGAGTTACTTGGAAGATTGAGAATTTCCCGAGCCTGGACACCAAGGTACATCGCTCTGAGATATTCATTGTTGGAGGCTGCAAATGGTATGGAGTTACTTTTTGTCTTTGTTGAATTTATCTTATCCGTTGCATATGATAGTGGATTTTAGAGTTTCATTAAAGAATTCGATATCGTAGTTTAATGGTATTGGCAAATTTATGCAATTTTCTTCTTTGTTGAATATTTGTTATTAGCATTCTTTTAGTTCAGTGGTTATGGAAATTCATGTTATTTTCTTTGTGGTCTTATTTGGTGAACACAATTGTAGATTGTAGATTGTCATCAAATAAAGTTGATACATTACCTTAATAATAGTGGAAGTTGATGGTGGTAGTAGGTTTTTCTTTCTTTTCTTTTTCCCTTAGCACGTGTCGATGTGTTACGCGGTTTGATATGGTTTTGTCATGTAAGTGATCTTGTGTTGGATTGAAATACTTTTTCAGAGATTATATTTGATGGGAATTTGGGTTTTGTAGGCAGCTCTTGCTATATCCAAAGGGGAATGAGGTGAAATATTTGTCAGTGTATTTAAATGTGCCGGATGCTACTAGTCTGCCTAATGGGTGGAGACGAAACGCAGATGTCTGCTTCTGTATCATAAACCAGGCTACTCGCAAGGACACGAAAAGAGAAGGCAGTATCCTCCCCTTATTGCAACTCTGCTTCTTAGATGACATGTTCAATGGCATAGTATGAGAGCTATGATATCACCTTGTTTATTGAACAGTGTGTGGAAATTGCATGCAATTTCCACATGGTGGTTCTGGTTATGTGGGTGGCAGTGGAAGTAGTGACACACAAAAGCGGGGTTTGTGGTTTTCTTCAATTGATTATGATTTGTACTCAATCTAGTACATCTCATATTGGAATGAATTTAATTACTGCTTTATTCTCTCGCCATGAACTCCCTTGCAGACTGCGGGTTTAGATAATGTTTTCTTGTTTAATCATAATGTTGAAGGAATCATTTTACTGAACAGGTTGTTGGATGAGATTCGATGGTTTTAGTGCTAATGGCAGTAAAATATATTTTCTTTTTATTACTGCCATTGCTTAATTATTCCTATTCCTTATTAATAGGAAGTGTGGGATGTAGTAGAAGGGCTTCCAAGAGGTTGCCCTTTATAGTCCTATTGTTGCATGATGAGCACTAACATTACGATCTTGTCCACTCATGGTACTATACATGTTATTGTGGGTTGTGCATGTTACTGGATTATTCGACATCAATAATACAATCCATCATGCAAGTGGTGTTTGAGCTTGTTCCTACTCGGATTCTATCATGTCTCTCTGAGGTGTTGGTTTTTCCTACTTTATTAGGTTGATTTTCCAAGTTTGTTTTATGTGCTTGAATTTTGTTTGGATTATGCCTTTTACTGTGATAGTTCTTGCTTAGACTCTTTTGTGGCACTGAGTTGTCGGTTTTTTCTATTGCATTAGACTAATTACTCGAAGTACGTATTTTGTTAAATATGGTGATATCTAAAATCACCCACATAAAGAAATCTCATGTTATGTGGGATTGGGATTGATATTAATAAGTTTATTAAAGAAAATAGAAATACAAAAAGATTAGGACTCTTGGGTACATCTCTTAGTTCTTGAGATATATGTGACATCTGTGGGAAGTTAGAGGAAAGAATAGGTGTGCTCTATTTGGGTCATCATATGGGCGGTTTCCATGGAGACTTTGGATGGTTTCCCCTTTTAGTGAGAGGAAGTCTTAGCTCTCAATGTTCTCTTACTGGACAGTGGTTTAGCTGTGGGATAGAGATGAGAGATCCGCAGGTGGTGTCAGTCGAGATAGTGGGTCTAAAAGGGCTTGCTCGATTGAGTTTTGTCGGAGGGTTAAAGAGGTAACTCTATGTCTCAAAATCTATGATTTAACTTTCATAGGTATAGTGGAATTCAATTTACTGTGTCCATGAATGTAGCCCTTTTGGGATGAACCATATAAATCTTTGTTCTATTGTGGTGTGTGTTTTTATGATTTATTTATCATACTCTTGCCTATTTTGTTCCCAAAATCTATGCTGTAACTTTCATTGGTATAATAGATTCCAATTTGCTGTTCTCGTGCATGTAGCCCTTTTGGGGTGAACCACGTAAATTTTGTGCTTTTGAGGTGTATGTTTTATATTTTATTTCTCACACTCTTACCTATTTTGTTTCTAGCTGGATAATAAGTACACGTTTTTGGTGGGATTCAACTTTTGGGATTCATGTTTTCGCATCTAATATTAAATCCTAACATGTTTAACATTGCAGTTGTAGTGGTTTTTTTGTCCAATAATGATGTAATGCCCTTTATTTTGGATTATATATTATTTGATTATTCAATGCCACTAACACTAACGATCATGCTAGTGGTGTTTGAGCTAGTTTGTGCTTGGGTTCTATCCTGTCTCATGGTGTTTTTGGATTGCTCTATTGCATAGATTGATTTTTCCAAGTTCATTTTAAGTATTTGAATTATGTGTTTCAAAGTATTGGCGTATTTTAACATTTACATGCTCCACCTTGATTGGAAATGTCCTAAAATATGTGGTTTATTTTTCAATCAGTTGCAAAACATGTATTTGATGCGCTAGCAAGCAACTGGGGCTTCTCATCATTTGTCCCTCTCACTGATCTTAGCCCAAAAACGGGTTATATGAGTAAAGGCACAATTATTATGGAAGTAGAGGTGTCCGTGTGTGATGTCATCAATTATTCGACTGACAGCGCTAAAATAGAAACTGTGCCCAACAGTGAGATCGAGGTACTGTATTTTAGTTCTTGTTTTTTTTCTCTAGGTATTGTAAGTTGATGTCTCTAGGTATTGTAAGTTGAGAAGACATCCTTTCCTCTTTCTCTTTAATCTTGGGGGATGATTCCAATTAAGTGGAAGTTTTCTACGAGATCATTGCAGATTGGAACTTTGATCATGGCAAAGGCGAGATACCCCATGTTGCTAATGGGGTTTTCTTGTCATCATTGTTTAGAAGGTTTTGGTTTCTTAAAAAGTTCGTAATTATACCCTCTATGCAATTTAATAACATCTTGAGATTGAATAAAGACCATCTGAATTTTAGAAGGTGAGATCAGAACGTCAGAACACTCTTTCGGTTTCTTTAGATTATCATAATCTAGTAATTCTTAAATGGTTCTCAAAATTTAAGATTGAAAAAAATCTTCCAAGTAAGTTTTTCGACTGAAGGTATAAAAACAAACTATACTCTGAAAATAGTATACCATACGTGCTCATAATTAAATAGCCACAGTTACCATAGTGAGTGTATCAGATACGCCATTAGATTATTCATAGTTTGTATCATACCTCATCATACACATCATATGTATGCTATATCATTTCTTGTATGTTAAGCAACGACCATGAACCCGTCTCTCTAATATATATCCACATCTCTCTCCCTCCATAAACTTGCGAAATCGACTCTCTCTCTCTCTCTCTAGATTTGTTATCTCCTACATCCAATCTTTGGCACCGTTTGTCATTACAGGGTAATGACGATGTCGCCTCATTGGATGTAAGGTGGCTAACTTAAGTTCTTCTTTATTTTCCATTCTTCTCTTGCTCTCTGGAACTTTTCACCACCATTTTTTTCTCTTTACCTCACAATAGCGAGCAAACAGTGGCAAGAGTGGTTATAGTACTAAGAAAATTAGTATTTGATTTCAAATCTCTGCAACTTTCATCCCAATCTCCTTGTTCCTGATCTATAGGTTTTTGGTTTTTTGCCATTGTAGGGTTTTTAACATGTCTATAGACTCTAAATGGGCGAAGTCGAAGTCCGAATGAATGGAAATTCTTACATTACATATTGTAGGGTTTTTAACATGTCTATAGACACTGAAATGTTAATTTTTGTTTCTAAAGCAGGGGAAAGAGAGCCAAAACTCAACCTCTCAAACTATTAAAGGTACCAAGTGCAAGTGTGCTAATTACCTTTTTTCTTTGGACCCTTTCTGGGTTTTTATAATGATACATTGAGCTTCATCTTGTTGATGATAGTCCATCTTTTGCTGATTATAGGATTCAATATTTTGTTTGATTATTTCCCTGTTATGCTTTAGTTCATCGTAATTTGTGCTACTTTATATAAATTTTGTGTTGCCTTTTCTTAATCTTAGTTCCCTTTTCTGGTGTTGTAGTAGTGGAGATTAGCGCAGATGATAACACTTCTAGAGTTACTTGGAAGATTGAGAATTTCAAAAGCCTGGACACCAAGAAACGCTATTCTGATACATTCATTGTTGGAGGTTGCAAATGGTATGTAGTACTTTTTGTCTTTCTTGAATGTTATCTTATCCATTGCATATGATTGTCAATTTTTAGAGTTTCATCAAATAAAAAAAAAAAAATTTTGAGGAAAATGTTGACTTTATAGTAGTAGTAGTGTGTATTACATCAATAAAATATTTAAAGATGGCATCCCACAGATTTGGTGCTTGGACAACTTGATGGGCATTTGGAGGGGGGAGGGGAGAATAAAAGAAATATGGTAGGGGACAATGCAAGAGCTTTTAGAGAGTAGGACAGTAAATGGTAACAAATCAAAATTTTTAACGATGGCATCAAACTGTGGGTGCTCAGGTTACAAATTGAACTTTTGGAAGGGGTAGAAAAGAAAAGAAAATACAGACTTAGGGTAGAGGGAAAGATGAGAGCATTATAGTGTAGAACAGTAACCGGAGACTTGAGAAGATGGTGGGATGCTTCAATTTGGAAAAGCGTTCTATTAGGTGTCGACACTAGTTTTGGTTTCTGAAAATTGGGTCTTCAGTTCATGGCTCAAGGAGGGGAGAATGTGGGGGTGAAGAGGGGGGGGGGGGAGGGGTGGCTGAGGGATGAATAGTTGACTGGGAATAATTTAAGTTGAAGAAACAAGAGGCAAACAAAGAAGGGGTGTAGAGGAGAGTTGGGGAAGAGAAGGGAGTTAGAGAGAGTGAACAGTAAGGGGAGCACCAGATCGACCACACCCCCCCCCCCCCACCCCGTTTGTTTCCTTTTTTTTTTATTCTTCCTTTTTTTTTTAAAGAGAAGAAGAGGAAGAAGGGAGGGAGGAAGAGTAGAGATGAGGGTGTATAGGGTGTGAGGCAATGAGCTACTGGGGGTGCACATGTGGCTTGGGTCATATGTTTGGAGCTGAGGCTTGGAGCTGGGCATAATTTCTTTGGATTCCTCTCATTTAGCTGTGAGATGGAGTTGAGGCCTGGCGTGCTCCTTCCTTAGCCACCCTATCAGCTTTAGGGACATGCTTGAAAGTGACGTGGAAAGAAACTACAGAAAAAATGGATATGCTAAAAAATATGGAATAATCACCATGATGGGTGGAGCTGCTGAGTAGCCTAATGGATCGGATTACTTGAGTCTGATTCCACTTTGAGTGCTTGCTGGTTGGACCCAGTTAGGGGCACTCGTTTAAGAACTTCAAAAATAGCCATGGCTTCTGCAGTGGTGGGGTCTGAGATCCCATTGTGATCCAAGAAGTAAAGGAAAATGCCGTGGGAGATTACCTAAGTACCACCTATGCCTTAAGGCCCTGGGTTACCTAGGATGAGCCATCCCTGTTAAGTTTGAGAAGGCCATGCGAAGGGGGTTCCACTGGGCTCTAGAGCTGGTAGGTGGGGCTGAAAGATTCAACAGGGCTTCCCAATTGGATAGGAAGTGGGAGATTGTGAGTGGAGCATATACTCGGACAAGCTTAGCCCAAAGGGAGATTGGGGCAATGCAGGAGCCGAAGATGGAGCATTGGGCTCCTCCTGAAGGTTCTAGAATTGCTCTCGAGCCAAATGGTCCAAAGGAGGGCAACAATGGACATTTGCCAGATTGTCCTATCTTTATTGGTGAAAGGAGGGGAAAAGAAAGCCTTGAAAAGGTTGTCATGTGAAGGGGGAGTAACCCAGTTGAAACGAAAGAGTTTTAGGACAGGAGACCAGAGGGCATAAGAGGCCTTATAGTGTATGAAAAGGTGGGGAATGGTCTCCTCTTCTTAGAAACACATGATACACGATTGGGTAGGGAGTGGCCCCTATGCTGAAGTTGGTCTAAAGTAAGGGTCTTTCCTTGAAGAAGCATCCAAACAAAGGCGCTTGAATTTTGTGGGGTACCGGCAAGGACTGAATTTTGTTAAGGGGTGCAGGGAAGAGGTTCGAGAGTAAAGAGGAATAGAAATAAGAGACTGAGAAGACCCAATGGGGTTAGGAGACCAGATGAGATAGTGTCTTGACGAAGGAGATAACTGAATAAAGGAGCTAGCAATTTGAAAAGGGAATTGAGTAAAAGGGACTCTTGGTCTGTGAGGTTTCTCCTAGAAATGGGTGTCCATACCAGGCCCGACCCTCTAAATCAGCATTCTCAGCTGCCAGAGCTGCCTGATTTTGTGCCAGGAGGAAGAAAGAAGGGAAGGCACACCTAAGGGGTTGGTCTCCAATACAATTATCCATCAAAAAATTTATTCTCTGACTGTTTTCTAATCTAAACATAGTGCAATTTAGGAAAGCATTTTTGCTCAAAGTGATGCACTTCTAGGCTTCAGAGGATCTGTGGGGAGGGGACTACTCTCCAAGTCCGTACTTGGTTTGGATGACTTGTTTCCACAGGAGGGGGACCACCATTTTCCTAGCAAAGCAAGGTTCATAGTTCAAGTTTATGCCTAGGCCTCGAAATTTCTTTGGGGTGCAGACTTTGTACCAAGCTACCAGATGGAATATTTTGCTTTCAGCAGACCTAGACCGCAAGAATTCTCGCATAAGTTTCTCTAGACACTGAAGGATTGAAATAGGGATTAGGAAAAGGGACATGTGATAGATTGGGTATTTGCTAATGTGGATTTGATGAGGGTGATTCTTCCTCCAAAAGAGAGATACCTACCTTCCAGCTGGTAAATTTCCAGTTCAACTACTCTACAAGTTTGTCCCAAAGGTGCTTTCTAGGTTTGCCCACACAAAGGGAAAGACCCAAGAAAGAAGAGTGGAGGCCTTCAGTTTCATTGCCCAAGTGTTGGGCAAGTTGTTCTAGATCTCCCTTATTCATCAGAACCACACATTTTGGTTTTGGATAGGTCAACTTTCATACCAATTAAGAGTTCGAAGCTGCTAAGGTAGGGCCAAAGGTTGTCTACTTGAGAAGGATGGGCCTCACAAAAGATAAAGAGTGTCATCTGCATAAAGAAGATGGGTAAGGATCAGCTCTTCATGGGAGGCCCTAAAGCCCGTGAGAAACCCTCTGTCAAAGAGTCTAGTGAGGGTTTTGGAGAAGAGTCCATCGATAAGAGTGAAAAGGAAAGGTGATAGCTGGTCTCTCTGTCTCAGCCCTATGACAGCAGGGAAGAATCCTACTGGGGTATCGTTGAGGAGAATAGAAATACAAGCTTTAATCTATAACCTCCATTTCATTTCAAATACTATACGAGTTTGGATAATATCTAAAAGGTCCCAGTCCACCCGGTCATAAGCTTTTTCCCAATCCAGCTTGATAATGAGGCCCTTCTGGTCTGATAGAGATTTGGAATGGATGGCTTCATGGGCCGTATGAGTTCCATCTAGAATTTATCTGTTAGCAATGAAGGCAGATTGGGTTGGAGAAATTACAAAGCTAAGTACTTTCTGGAGGCGGGAAGCTAAAACTTTTGTGAATCTTGTAGGAGTTGAGGAGACTAATGGGTCTGAAGTCTCTAAGCTTAAGAGTTCCATCAATTTTTGGGACCAGGCTAGGAAGGTACCGTTATGATTAGAGTTAAGGTGACTGCTATGGAAGAATTCTTGGAAGAAGGCTAGAAGATTTGGGGATATACCAGATTCTAGAATTACTAGAAGATGACCACTGGGAACCCATCGAGCCCTGGGGCCTTGTCATTAGGTAGTTCAAAGACTGCCTTTTTTATTTCATCTAAGGTAAAAAAGGTCTCTCTAACCAAGCCGAGTCTGCCAGTGAGAGAGTCTGGAAGGTGAGGTTGCCATGTTGGGACTTAGAGAAAGGATTTTTAAAGTATCTCCTGAAGATGAGATTAATTTGTTCAGGTGGAGAGAAGGATCGACTACCTATTGAGACTTGGGTAATTGCATTACCCTTCTTCTAGAACTTGCTGTTTTGTGGAAGAAGACAGTATTTTTATGTCCTTGTTTGAACTATTTGAGTCTGGACCTCTGATACTTGTAGGTCTCCTCAAGTTGCATAGTATGATGGAGTTTATGTTTTGCTGAAATCCAATTGGCACTTTCCTGTGGGGTAAGCACATGGGATTCTTCCAGGGAGTCAATGGACTGTATGAGGATAGAGGAAGCATTGATTTGCTTCCTGAAGTTCGAGGGGAGGGAACGGCTCCATTGCTTAATGGAAGCCTTCAGGAGTTGCAACTTCCTAGAGAGTCTGAATCCTGCCCAACCAGTGAAGGATAGGGACCAGATGAATCTAAACAAGTGGGTGAAAGAGGGCTCTTCCAACCAAAAGAGCTCAAATCTGAAAGGTTTAACCGAGCGATGGGCTGGATTGGTGTCCAAAAGGATTGGTTTGTGGTCAGAGGTGGACTTGAGTTAGGCTCGAGAGCAAGTACCTGTGAAAGTGGATTCCCATGATTGGGAAACCAGGAACCTATCAATTTTTTTCATGATTGGGTTAGAAGCATGGTTGGACCAGGTGAAGGAAGCCTCTGTAAGGGGATCATGGGAATCCAGGAACCTATCAATTTTTTTCATGATTGGGTTAGAAGCATGGTTGGACCAGGTGAAGGAAACCTCTGTAAGGGGGATGTCGATTAGAGGAATACTATCAATGAAGTCTGAGAAGGCATGCATTGTGGTTGTCTGACGACCCCCATTAGATTTTTCATGAGTCCATCTAACAACATTAAAGTCACCGCCTAGGAGCTAGGGGAGGTCAGAAGAGGGGGCCCGAGAACTGAGCTCCAGCCAGAAGTCCTGGCGATGGAGCGAGCAGTTAGGACCATAGAAAAAAGTTGAGCGGAAATGGAGGTTATCTGAGATACGACTAAACTGGATGGTGACAAAGAGGTCAAGAATCTGGGAAACTAGGGTTTGAAGGACAATTGGTTTCCAAATCACCCAAATACCCCTCTGAAGCCCCTATAGAGTCCTTGGCTAACTAGGCGCAAGGAGTCCAGCCCCACCTTTCCCTAACTAGTTCTAGATTGGCCGTGAGCTTGGTTTCAAAAAGGGCTAAAATATCTAGGTTATGGGAGGAATCTAGGGAGCGGAAGACACTGCGTTTTGCATGCGTGCTGAGACCCTAGATGTTATAATAAAGAACTTCCATCAGGGGGGTTTGGGTTCTAATAAAGAACTTCCATCAGTTGGATCTCCTATTTTTGGGGCTAATAGGGCAAGCGGCTAGAAGGGGGGTCGACTGGGCTGAAGTCTTGGGGGTGTCATCATTTACCCATGAGTGGAGTTTAGCTAATTCTCTAGAGCCTTTGCTAGATTTAGATTTAGGGTTACGTGCGACGATCCAGCAGCTTCTCTGAGGTGGTTGGAGAGATCTGAGTAATTACCATTGAGGACTAATCCCATGGTATCGATCATCTCCGGCAAGTGTTGCTCGCCTCTATCAATCCTGGTTAACTCCCTGGAGTCTGCTGATATTGAGTACTGAGTATCAGAGTTTAAGTCTTCCCCTTGTTGAGAGGTGTGAATAGGAAGTGGAACGGGGTCTTATGGTGGAATCATTTGAGGGGTGAAGAAGTAGTTGAGAGGAGAGATGCAGGGGGGAAGTGCCTCTCTAACTGTGGGCAGAATTGATTACAAGGTGCATAAGGGGACTAGGCTGTCTAGGTCTGAGGTTTGGAGACTTGAACTAGGGGGGTGGCAAAGGAATTCAAATATATTTGGTTTTCTGGCGGGGCTTCAGAGAAGACAAAGATTGGGTCGGTGAGATTGATTCTTCAGGAGAGTATGGGAGCCAGAATATTGATTTAAGATGGGTGGAAAGCAAGGTGGATGAGTGTAGGAATCTTGGAGCCTGAGTGGTGGCGATGCTTGCCTACGAGGTAGGTGGAGAGGGGGTGGGAGTTTGGTGATGGAGCCACCCTGGGTACGAAGGGCGCTGTCTCTAAAGCAATTAGGATTATGACATTCCCTATGGCTAGGCAGCCAAAGGACGTCCGGTGCACCGATAGAAATATCTCTAATGGTTTTGAAGGTTTCTTGTGTCTAGAGAAGTTGAGCTTTGATTTTGGGGAGTCTAGTGGAGTAGAGGCCTTGTTTGGGTGGTGATTCCTTTTATATTGTCATGTTGGGTGGAGAAAGAGCCAATGAGAGAGTTTCCAAGGGAAGAAAGCCGGTCTACTATCTCAAGAGTGTTGGAGAACCATCCTAGGATAGTTTTGGAGGCGAGAGAAAACTCAGAAGCTAGAGAGAGAGAGAGAGAGCAGAGAGAGAGAGGAGAGTGAGTAATACTTATCTTTTTTGATGGACGATGGAGTAAATGCTTCTCTTGCTCATTTCATCATCAAATAATTCAATATTGTAGTTGAATAGATATTATTACATATACTTTTAGCTCTTAAAATTTATTGGATGACTTCAATGTTTTAGTTCAGTGGTTGTTTAAATTCGCATTCTATTCTTTGTGGTCTTATTCAGCACACATAGTTCTATTTTTTGTAGTCTTATTCAGTGCACATAATTGTAGATTTTAGGATTTTATCAAATAAATTTGACACATTACCTTAATAATAGTGGAAGTTGATGTTAGTTGTAGTTTTTTTTATGGGAAAATATCTCCATATCTCATATTTTTAGGTTCCATTTCTTGATAAACCCCAGGTTTCAAAAGATATCTTCTAACCCCCTGGCCACTTTACACCTATTTTTTAACTTAAACAAATGGGAGAAAGACATGCTCTTTCTAAACCCAATCCTTTATCTCTCTTCACTTATATACCCCAAACCTCTCTCTTTCTCTCTCTTCCTACGTCTCTCACTCTCTCTCCTCCCATGTTTCTCCAAACACCTCTCTCTCCCCTACCGGTAACCTCTTAGAAAATGCATGTCTTTTTAGATTTGTTTGGACTAAAAAAACAGGTTAAAAATTAGCTCAAAGGGGTTAGAAGAAATAAAATCTACAATTTTTATGCCCCAAGATATCTTTTAAAACCTTGGTTCCATTGTGAAACGAAACCTAAAAATAGGGGGTATGGAGATATTTTCCCCTTTTTTTTTGTTAGCACGTGTAGATGTGTTGCGTAGTTTGATATGTTTTTTTCATGTGAGTGATCTTATGTTGGATTGACATACCTTTTCTGAGATTATATTTAATGGGAATTTGTGTTTTGTAGGCAGCTGCAGATATGTCCAGCAGGGGATAACGTGAGCAATTTGTCAGTGTATTTAAATGTGGCGGATGCTGCTAGCCTGCCTAATGGGTGGAGCCGATATGCAAATTTCATCATCTGTATCATAAACCAGATTGATGGCAAGGGCACGAAAAGAAAAGGCAGTATCCTCTCCTTTTGTCGCACTGCTTCTTAGATGACATTGTCAAGGACATAGTACTCTGTTTATTGAGTGGAGTTTGTGAAAATCACATGCAATTATGTATGGTGGATCTGGTTATATGCGTGGCAGTGCAAGTAGTGACACAAAAAAGCTGGATTTATGGTTTTCTTCAATTGATAATGATTTGAACTCAATCTAGTACATCTCATAGTGGGGTGAATTTTATTGCTGCTTTGTTCTTTCACCAGTAACTCACCCGCGGGCTGAGGGTTTAGAGAATGTTTTCTTGTTTAGTCAGGAAGATAGAGAAGAGTTAAATGGATCACTTTTATGATAGTATTGAAGAAATCATTTTACTGAACGAGTTGTAGGATTAGATTCGATGATCTGAGTACTAGTGACAGTAAAATGTATTTTCTTTTCATTACTGCCATTGCTTAATTATTATTTTTCTTTATTAATAGGAAGCGTGGGTTGTAGTACAAGGGCTTCCAAGTCGTTGCTCTTCCTAGTCCTGTTGTTCCATGATAAGCATGTTTAACATTGTAGTTCTAATGGTCGTCTTGTCCACTGATGGTACTATACCTTTTACTGTGGATTGTGCATGTTACTTGATTCTTCATAACTGATTACACAAACGATCATGCTAGTGGCGTTTGAGCTAGTCCCTGCTTGGATTCTATCCTGTCACTTTGAGGTGTTGGTTTTTCCAACTGCACTGGGTTGATTTTTCCAAGTTTGTTTTTTGTGAGTTCTACTTGGATTTTTCCAAGTTTGATTTTTGCAATTGCCCTTTACTGTGGCAATTCCTGCTCGGCCTCTTCTGTCTCCCTGAGTTGTTGGTTTTTTCTACTGCATTACATCATTTCTAGTGGTTTTCTTGTCCAGTAATGATTATTCGTGGATTATACATATTACTTGATTATTCAATGCTAATAATACTAATGATCGTGCTAGTAGTGTTTGAGATAGTTTGTGCTTGGGTTCTATCCTGTCTCATGGAGTTGTTGGATTTCTCTACTGCATAGATTGGTTTTCCAAGTTTGTTTTAAATATTTGAATCCTGTATTTGAAAATATCAGGCATACATTAACATTTACATGGTCCAGTTACTAATATATGGTTCCTTTAATTGAAATGTCCTAAAATATGTGGTTTATTTATCAATCAGATTCTCAAAATGATATATTTGATGCACAAGCAATCGGCTGGGGCTTCTCGTCATTTATCCCTCTTAGTGATCTCTGCCCAAAGACAGGGTATATGATTGAAGGCACAATTATTATGGAAGCAGAGGTGTCCGTGCGTGATGTCATTAATTACTCGACAGACATCACTAAACCGAAAACTATATCCAAGATTGAGATGGAGGTACTGTATTTTATTTTTAGTTTTCCAAACTATTGTAGGTTTGAGAATTAAGTGAAGGCTCGTGGGGAAGACATCCTTTCCTCTGTGCCCTTTATTCTTGTTTTTGCATCTAGCTGGAGACTATTTTCAGCACATTTATATTGCTCATTTAGATTTGGTTTTTAAATTGAAACAAAATACCCTAAATTTGTGTAAGGTCAAAATGCATTGTATGCTTTGTATATTTCATAGGATGATGTGCTGATTGCTATCACAAACCGTGTCCCAATAAACAAACTATAGCTGCCCCCTATGTTCTTAAGCGAAAAACTTCTAATGCCTTGCCATCTACCTGATAGTCCTTGTTGACTCTCCTCCAATTCTCCTGCATCCCAAGCTAACTTCGACGTCGGAAGTAAGTGGGGATGAGGATGATTTCAAGGAAGTGAAAGTGTTCTTGTCATCACCGTTTGGAAGGTTCTAAACTTTTCTTATTTTTCTTAAAAAGCCTTTTTTTATTTTATTTTTTGTTTTTATATGTTATTATTTTGTTATCTATTATTCATTTGTTTGTTTTAAGCTTATATTTAGAAATGTATTCTTCATTTTAGAATTATGAGTCCCCTGCCTGGTATTTTGTATGTATAAGAATGAAAATCTATGCATGGACTGCCTCATTTCTTAGTTGAGTAATCATAATTATTTATAGTTTGCTAGTTTGAACATCTCAAATAATTTTGTAGTAACCCAAAAATATAGATGAATTATACTAACTCAAAATCCTGTTTTCCTTGGGGCAATCATTGGCATGGATTGAAGCCCCAAGATAGGGGAATTGAATTGGATGGCAATAATGCCAAGATGGAGGACTTGAAGAATAAGATCGAATCTTATGAGCAAGAGCTGGCGATGAAGGATGAGGTAGAGCCTTAGGTCTCTTTTCATCTTCTTTCTCTGATTTTCCCCTTTTCTCTGATTTTCTCTGTGACCGCATCTTAGGAGGCCAAATATAAAGAGATGGTCATTGCTAAAAAGGATGGAGAAATTGCTAAAAAAGATGGGGAAATTAAAGAATTGAGAGCAAGCTTGGAACTCTTGGAAATGAGGGTGGAAGACATGAAGGCGGTTGCTGCTGGTTTGCGCTCACATTCTTATCTAAGCAAATTTATTCCAGAAGGGAAATCTCCAACTTCAAAAGAATGTTCAGAAGAACCAATTAGAAGTATTGGGAGGGTGCTGAAATTCCTAAAAGAGTACCAGGATCCATTGCGAATTCTTGCCAGTTTGGTTGTAGTGGGTTCCATTTTGTTTGCATGCTTCCTCGCATGGAAATGCTCAAGAATTTTGATGAAGAAAACATTTAATAGTCCATCTTTATGTGCATGGTGAGATCCAAAGTATATATGTGGAATTTTAAACGTATTTATATATTAGCTGTAATCAAAGTTATCATTATGAAATGAATGCATTTTGTGTGCATGAATATTCTTTCTTTCTCGTCTTTTTTTTTTTTTTTTTTCATTTTGGGGTAGCTCAGCAATAAGATTCGATCTCAAAGTTGCAGTCATCACTGAATAACTGTCACGTTTGCTTTCAATTTTACTTTTAAAAAGATGCATGGTTAGCTTTGTGAGAATGGGAAAAGTTTATTTCATGTCCCAAAAGCCTCGAGGGTTGTTGACCTATATCAGCCTATTGTCTCACAAGACCTTCACAGTGATCTTTTCTACTGTTAAATAAATCCAACGCATTATTGCAAAACAAAAGATATAAAAGTATTGAAGAGCCTTGATATGTAAAAATGGATAAACAACTTTAATAGCATAATCAATATTAGAAATATCATAAACAAAAATTCTGATTACAATAAATGAACAAATGCTATAAAACCTCCTAAGAGAAGCTTTGAGGAGGTTAATGCTCTTAGTTTCTTTTTAATTCTCCGGGCTTCCCGTATCCCAGTGTTTGAAAACCCCGCAGTTTGGATCATGAATCGACGAATTGGATTGGGAACCAATCCAGATCGACGTGGTATTGGAACAAAAAATCGATTTGGTTCTTATGAACTTGCCTCATTATGTTAGGGAACCAAGCGACTCTATTAGGAACCAGTCGATTTGAGCCGACCAGATCACCTGATCCCCACACATTAATTATATATTTATGGAAAATGATCCTATAAGCCAGTGGACTCACAAGAAAAAATGAGTTCAATGGTCCAGATTGAATTTGGACTGATCTTACGATCACGAATGTCCAGTAGTGTTTGAATTTTAATTTTTTTTTCTACAAATCCAAATCACTTTAAATTTTAGGCGTGTGTTCTTCTCATCTAGCCGTACTTAATAAAAATATATTAAAAATAATTCCCAAAAAATAAAATTAGCAAAATACCCTTGAAACTTTATGGGGGTATTTTGGTCAATTTTTGTCATGTAAAATATTTTTTTGATATTTTTTGAAGATTCACCTGCTTTTTAATGAACACAAGTAAAAAATTTCAAGTGATTTGCATTTGTATAAAAAAATAATTAAAATTCAAACACTATCGGGCATCCGTGACCTTCAGATCGGCCCAAATTCAATCTGGACAATTGGGCTCATTTTTAATTGTGAGCCCACTGGCTCACAAGATCATTTTCCTATATATATATATATATATATATATATATATAAATTGATTCTCATAAATACTGCAAAATGGACGGCTTCGAGGTTGTAAACAATCAAATTAGAGCGCACCTCAAGAATTTCTCTAGAAGAGGTTGTTTTGATGCCCAAGTATCCTCAAATTGATCATCTTGACATCAAGATGCATGAGCATGAGAAAAAAATGGATTTTAAGTTTTGGAAATAGTGCATCTTGTAATGCATTTTTGGACCATTAATTTTCAAGATTTTTAAACAATTGGAGATGAAATAATATTTGAAGGCTATCACAAAGATTTCCAGCATTGAAACCGTATTTCTCGATACTATTTGAAGGTAGGCTGTAATTTGATTGTTTAAAACCTTGACTCTATATAAATCGCACCCAATATAAAATAATCAAGGTTGAGGTGATCGATTTAAAGGTTTTTCTACGCCCAATACTATGGGTAAGTCTTTGTTCCAAACGGCTACAACTGGATCTTGTTTTAAAGGATAAGTTTTCTACAAGGCAACAGGCTTTATAAAAACAAAATAAATCCTCACCTCAAATCCTTGTTTAGAAAGCACTTTCACCAAAGAAAATCTCCATGATAGCTCTAAAATCAAATTTTAATACCATCAATGAATTTTGAAATTAAAAAAATGATATAGATCTTGCGGATATATGAACATTTATTTTTAAGGTGAAATGAACGGTCTAAATAATTTGTTACACTCTAAATTATATTTAAAGCTTCAAAGCTTTTTCTTTTTTTTTCCATAACTATAATGTTCAAATTGATATGATTGATGTAAAGGTTTTCTAATGCTTGAATTGTAATTTTGGATGTCTTATGAGGTGAGGCTAGCCTCTAAGAATTGTTAATGGAAGGGGAACAAAAATTTTTGACTATATTGAACCCAATCACCGTAAACCATATTTGCACGCTGTCACCGTATCTGATACGCCGTTGATTATTCATAGTTCCCTTCATATCGTGATCATACACATCATGTGTATTGTACATCATTTCTTACCACGGCGAGGTCGTCATAAGACATGGACGTCGCTTTCCATTAAAAACCTGGCGAAATCGACCCTCTCTCTCACTGAACCCTCTCTCTCTTATAGAGCACCCTCTCTCTCTCTCTCTCTCTCTCTGCTGCTGCGTTTTGTCCCTCTAGATTTCGTTATTTTCCACATCCAGTCTCTGGCGCCGTTTATCATTACAGGGTACAGACGATGTCGCGCCCTTTGGACGTAAGATGTCTAACCTAAGTTCTTCTTTATTTTCCATTCCATTCTTCTCCTGCTCTCTGTAACTTTTCACCACCTTCTTTTCTCTTTATCTCGCAATACGTTCAAACAGTGGCAGGTTAAAGTACTGTGAAAGTTAGTGCTTGATTTCAAGTCTCTGTAATTTTCATCCCAATCTCCTTGTTCCTGATCTATAGGATTTTGGTTTTCGCCGTTGTAATGTTTTTAACATGTCTATAGACTCTGAAATGTCATAATTTTTGTTTCTAAGCAGGAGAAAGAGAGCCAAAACTCAACATGTCAGACTGTTAAAGGTGCCAAGCTAGTGTGCTCTATATGGTTTTCTTTTTCTTTCTTTTTTTTCTGTTTTTCCTTTTTGGGATTTTGCAGTGAATTCATTGAGCTTTCCTGGTGTTTGTATTGGCCCATTTCATGCTGATTTATAGGACTCTGTATTTAGTTCCATTTTTTTCCTGTTATGCTTTAGTTCCTTTATAGCAGTGTTCAAGGCCTCAGCCAAATAACTTGGCTATGGTCAACGCAAGTTCCGGTGCCCAACTCACCTTTGTTAAAATTCTTTAAAAAAAGTCAGAAATTTTGGTAAAAAGTCAACAGTGTATGATTTGGAAATAAGTTCTTACCTAGTATTTATGGTTTTTATGATGATTTGGGATCTATTCTTATTGCATGCTCCAAAGTTTTATTTTCCCTTTTTTATTTCTGAAGTATTTTAAAATATAAATCATAATTTTCAATATAATCCATTTTTTATATTTTTTCCGTCTTTTAGAAAATTTTGATGATTTCAGTTAGTTGTTCTACGTAATGATGTTTTTTATTTTTTATTACTTCTAACAATTTATTTGCATTTTATGAATTTAATCATATTTTCGACTTGTAGATGACCTGACTGAGTTACTCAGCTCGGTGTGGGCCACCTCTGTGGCCAGAGCCGAGTTTCAAAACATTGCTTTATGGTCTTCATCTTGTGTTATTTACTGTGCAATTCTGTGTTGCCTTTTCTTAATATTTGTTGCGTGTTTTTTGGTGTTGTAGTAGTGGAGATTAGTGCAGATAATAACACTTCTAGAGTTACTTGGAAGATCGAGAATTTCTCAAGCCTGGACACCGAAAAGCACTTGTCTGACATATTCAATATTGGAGGTTGCAAATGGTATGAAGACCTTCTCGTCTTTGTGGAGTCTTACTCATTGCCTATAATTGTAGATTTTAGAGTTTTGTCAATGATTTTAATATCATAATTTAATGATATTGGAAATTGTATGCAATTTCCGTCTTTGTTCAATAGATATTATTCATTGTGTAGAATTTAGATTTTTGAATTTTATAGGATGAATTCGATATTGTAGTCTAGTGGTTGCGAAAATTCATGTTCTTTTTTTTGTGGTCTTATTCATTGCACATAATTGTAGATTTAGAATATTATCTAATTTATAATTTGATACCTTATCTTAATAATAATGGAATTTAGATGTTGGTTGTAGGACTTTTTTCCTGAGCATGTTAAGATGTGTTATGTGGTTTGATATGGTTAAACATTGTTGTGGGATTGTCACATGAGTAGTTTTATGTTGTCTTGTATTGCTTTTACTGAGATTATAATTGACAGGAATTTGGGCTTTTGCAGGCAGCTGTTGATATATCCAAAGGGGAATAATGTTGATGGTTTGTCAGTGTACTTAAACGTGCCAGACGCTGGTAGTCTACCTAATGGGTGGAGCCGAAAAGCAAATGTCTGTTTTTGTATCATAAACCAAACTAATGGCAACGACTCAATAAGAAAAGGTAATATCCTTCCCTTATTACAACATTACTTCTTAGATGACGTGTTCAATGACATGGTATGAGAGCCATGAAATTTCCTTGTTTATTGAATAGACAGTGTGGAAATTCACATGCAATTCTGTATAGTGGGTCTTGTTATATGGGTGGATTGGAAGTAGTGAAACAAAAAAACAGGATTTATGGTTTCCTTCAGTTGATAATGATCTGAACTTAATCAAGTACATGTCATGGTGGGATGAATTTAAGTACTGTTTTGTGCTCTCACCTTGCACTCACCTGCAGGTTTAGAGAATGTTTTCTTATTTAATCAGGAAGTTAGAGTTGATTTACATGATTAAATGAATCATTTTTATGATAATATTAAGTAAATAATTTTACTGAATAGATTGTAGGATTGGATTTGATGATTTGAGTGCTAATGAGAGTGAATGCCTTTTCTTTGTATTACTGACATTGCTTAATTGTTTTTCTTCTTCATTAACGGGAAGCCTGTGGCGTGGTAGAAGGGCTTCCAAGAGGATATTCTTACTAATCATGTTGCATGATAAGCATCTTTTGCATTGCAGTTCTAATGACTGTCCACCAATAGGATTATGCCCTTTTACTGTGCCGTTTGCATATTACTTGGTTATTCAATGATAATAATACCAACCATCAAGCTAGTGGCGTTTGAGCTAATTCCTGCTTGGATTCTTTCCTGTCTCACTGAGGTGTTGGTTTTTTCTACTGCATTGAGTAGATTTTTCGAAGTTCGTTTCACATACTTGAATTTTACTTGGGCTGTGTAGCTACTGCTGGGATTTAATTCTGTCTCACTGAGTTGTTGGTTTTCTTCCACTGCATTAGATCAATTATTCCTTTGTTTTTCATGTTTAAAATTGCAGTTCCAGGTTCTTGTCCAGTATTGATAATATGCCATTTACTGTAGATTATACATTTTACTTGATCATCCAATGCTAACAATGCAAATGATGGTGCTAGTGGTGTTTGAGCTTGGGTTCTATCCTGTCTCACTGAGTTGTTGGTTTTTTCTACTGCATTAGATTGATCATTCCAAGTTTTACATATCTGAATTCTGTATTTGAAATTATTGTACATGCTTTAACATTTACATGTTTTAGTTAATATACGGTTCCTTGAATTGTTCTTAAATTTGTGGTTTATTTTTCAATCAGATACAATACATGTATTTAATGCTCGAGAAACAGATTGGGGCTTCACATCATTTATCCCTCTCAGTGATCTCTGCCCCAAAAAAGGGTATATGCTTAATGACACAATAATTGTGGAAGTAGAGGTGTCCGTGAGTAATGTCATCAATTACTCGACAGACAGCACTAAAACAGAAAGTGCGTCCAAGAGTGACATGGAGGTACTGTATCTTAATGTTTGTTTTTCTTTTCCAGCTATTGTAGGTTGAGAATTTCGGTAAGGCTTGTGGGGAAGACATCCTTTCCTCTCTGCTTTTAATCTTGTTTCTGGATCTAGCTGAGAACATTTTCAGCACATTTATATTGCTCATTTCGATTTCATTTTTAGTTGTTCATTTCGTTGGATGAAGTGCTGATTTCCATTACGCAACTTTCCCAGCTGACGGACTATAGTTGCCTCCAATATTCTTAAGTGGAAGTGCTTATATTTCCACAAAACTCTAATGCTGTTGCAATCTGCCTAATAATCTTCCTTGAATTTCCTACATCTTTCCTCTCAAGTTAACTTTGAAGTCAGAACTAGGGTCGGGGATGAATTCGGGGAAGTGAAAGGGCTCTGCAATATCATTCCAGATTAAAAGTTTGGTCAAGTCAAGGCCAAGACACTGCCTGTTGGTAATAGGGTCCTGTTGTCATCACTTTTGACTTGAAGGCCTAGCCTGGAATGTCGCATGATCTGGGCTCAATCTACTCATGAAGTCCCAAGTTGACTCATCAATATTGAGACAATTGTCATGATTTTTAGGAAGTAAATTTGGACTTGATCGAATATAATATGATTCACAAATACTCAAGAACTGATTTCAGTCCTAAAAGCATCAAGTGACAGCTGAGATGCATGCTCTATTGACTGGGTTCAGACACATTTGGGGCTTCGTCATTTGTACCACTTCTAATGAAGGGTGATTCACTTAATGTCATTTCTTGGACCTCATAAATTCCTTATCCCTGTCGCCTGTTTGACACCATGGAGTTCTGTTACTTGGTAGCTCTATTGGATATACCTTTTCGCATATTTAGAGAGCGGCTAATGAGCTAGAGGGTAGACCTGCCAAGGTGGGAACGGGTCTCTCCTTGCCTCATTTCTTGTGTAATGCTGCTTGTAAAACACATTAATGCAACACATGATCATATGGTCATCTTCTTGAGCTTTTGCTCCACTCCTGGAGTTCATCTTTTCAAACTTCCCCAAAAATGCCTCAGAAGGGACTATGTTGAAATTTCATTTTTTGCTACTTATTTATCTAATATTCCTATTTCAGATATTTTCTTGATGGAGAATTCATTTGTAGCCCTCTATTGAGAATCACATTATTTTATTTTTTTTCAAAATTCGCCTTAGTGTTTTTTCTTCATTTCAAATTTCCCTACAAATTTCTTATTTTATGTTATTTTGTTGCTTACTTGTACAAATCTCTTCATTTCATAATTTTAGGAGTCGTACATGGAGTAAAGGAACTCCTATAGCAATGTTTCCTTAGCTGAACACTATCATGATTTGACTTGTAGCAGGACCTGTATTTGCCTGTGGTTCCTATGCCGCTCAGTCATGACCTTTCTTCTTAGTTAAAATAGTGATAGGCTTTACCATTTCTCAATGTAGGTAATTCTTGAGCATGAAGAGGAGCTCCAGGTCAAGAATCCCATACGCGAGCTGAATAAAGAGATTAAGAGTCTCCAGGCAGCTAAAGAAATAGTTGAAATACGTCTCAAATCCTTCAAACAAGAATTGGCAATGAAGGACTTGGTAAACCCTTGGCTCTCTTTGGCTCTTCTCTCTTTGATTTTGACCTCAAAAACCTAATTATGTACTGATCCCTTTGCCAATAGGCCCATCGTGTGCGCGAATTGGAGCTGCAGGCCAATAATCCCAAGGTTGAAGAGCCGAAGAGTGAGATCAAGAGTCTTCAAGAGGCAATTGTGACATTTGACGAAGAGTTCCAAGGATTCACAAAAGAGTTAACTGTGAAAAATGTGGTAAAGGCTAGGGTTTATTTTTATCGTCTTTGATTTTCATCTTGAGAAAACCTCATCGCAAATCTTGACCTCTTCACTGGCAGGCCCATCATGCATGTGAAATGGAGCCCCATTTTAATAATTCTGAGATCGAGGAGCTTAAGAGTGAGATCAAGAGTCTCAAGGAAGCAAAGGCAACTGTTGAAGAAGAGCTGATAGAATGCAAAAAAGAGTTGGCTATGCAGGAAGAGGTGAAGCCCTCGTTTCTCTATTTCTTCTTTCGTGATTTTCTACCTTCAAAACCTCATCAGAAACTTTGACCTTTCACCTGTAGGCCTGTCATAGTCTTGAATTGAAGCTCCAAGCTGATACTCCCATTGTCGCAGAGCTAACGAATCAGATACAAAATCTCCAAGATGCAAAGTCAGTGGTTGAAGAAGAGCTCAAAGCCTGTAGAGAAGAGCTAGTAACAAGGATAGAGGTAAAACCTTGGGGCTCTTCCCTCCTTTTTGTATGACTCTCACCGCATAATTGTCATTCTGAACTGGCCCTTTGCTCGTAGGCCCATCATGCACGCGAATCAGAGTTCGAAGCCAAGGCTGCCAAGATTGAGGAACTGACGAAAGCAATGAAGATTGTTGTGACGGTAAAGGCGATGGTTGATGAAGAGCTCAAGGCTAGCAAACAAGAGCTGGCACTAAAGGACACGGTAAAAAAGAAATCAAAGGATTTGGTCTCATTTCCTCTTCTTTTTAGTTTTTACAGTTTCGACCTTGAAAACCTCATCGTAAAATGACGCTTCACCTATAGGCCTGTCATGATCGTGAATTGGAGCTCCAAACCAGTAATTCCAAGATCGAGCTGAAGAATGAGATAAAGAATCTCCAAGACGCAAAGCAGAAGGTTGAAGAAGAGCTCAAAGGATACCAAAGAGAGCTAGAAATGGGAGACATGGTAAAACCTTGCGCTCTCTTCTTCTTCCTTTTTTGATCTTGACCTTCAAAAACTCACTGCAAATTATCCCTTTGACCATCTAACTTGTAACAGAAGGCTAGATTCAAAGATCTTGAGTATGAGTTAGCTATTGCCAAGAAAGACGGAGAGATTAAAGAATTGTTGGCCAGCTTGAAATTTTCTGAGAAAAGAGTCCAGGACGTGAAGGAGGCTGCTGCTGATTGGCGCTTCCTAACTTTCTCAGCCAGTCGACTAGAGGGTGCACAAATGTGAAAATAAATGTAAAAGAGTTCACAGAAAAAATTCTAGCAGTTCGCATCAGTGGAGAGAATAGTACGACCAATTGAGAACCCTTGTTAACCCTTGTCATTTGCTGGCTTACTTTCATGAGTTATTACCCCGGAACACGGAGAGACTGCATACTGACGGACTATGTTTTAGTGTGCATATATACGTGTACGTGTGTGTTTGTATCTGTAGAAATGATAAAATTAGCATCTTGCAAGAAATGCCATTGCCTGAATAATGTTTTTTGGAAACAATGTTTAAAAAATCAGACCAGTGGGTAGAACATGTCATTAACTAGTTTCAAGTCGAAATAATTGGATCGATGAGTCAGCCAAGTCCATTAAAACAATGGAAATTTATCATATTACTCATGAGAGATGCATTATTTATTGTCTTATATATTTGCAACTATGCCAACTAAAAAATGGGGCATTTTGGAATTGAAAAAAGTTTATATAAGATGTCAATCTTATAACATAATCTACAAGTAAGATGCACCCAAAAAATCCATTGGATAACGTTTTTCCTATGCTGTAAATTTCAAAAACCTCGAGATTCATAGATATGAAAAAAAGATGATTTTTAGTTCTAAAAATAGTTAATCTTTTGACATATTATCTAAACCGCCCACTTTCAAGTATTTATAGAAATGCTTGATTGATGAAACTTTAAATTTCATAATTAGGGGGAATTGTATTTTTGGCATACTTGTGAGGTGCACCTTCAATAGTATAAGGTGTTGACACCTTATACAAACCTCACCCAAAAATAAATGTAAATAAATCTCACCCAAAAATAAAATGAATGTAAATAAAGTTCAAAAATTCAAACAAGTTTTAAGAACTTGAAATCTTTCTAAAAGCAATACCTTGATTACATTAAAATTGAATATGATTTGGGGTGAATAGGTCCGAGTCCCAATTTAGCGAGGGACTCGACCTCACCCACTGATCCCAAGTTGAACCGGGAAAATCACCCTCTCCTGTCTGATTTTAAAAACTGTGCTTGGAAAAATATAGTTCGATATGATGTAACACATGAATAGTGTGTTGCATTGTGTCTTCCCTCCGCTCAAGTTTTGCAACACCTGGGCGAAAAAATGATCACAGCTGCCTGTTGGAAATCAATCCGACTCATCGGATGCGACTATAGCTTTCCCCAGAAATCAATCCGACTCATCAGATGCGTCTTGTGTATCTATAAAATTTATTTGGGAAATTTACATACAGACCGTCTTTTTTTGACCTTTACAACAAAATGGCTCAAAACTAGGATGTTATTATCTGGGAGGATGGATCCCTAAATTTGTTAATTTTTTTATCAAGTTTGCTCTCGATCCAACATCAGATCGATTTTTAGCTCTAAAACCCCCAATCTTCCCTCTCTCTTGCTCTCTATAAATTTCCTTTTCTCTCTGTAAATTTCCTTCTATGTCACAGGCGAGGGGTCTATCTGAAGTTTATGATGGTCCGCACAAGTTCTTGCTAAGGCGCCATATGTCATTTCTGAAACTGACCCTCCATTGGAGCCTAGAGGACAACTGTCTTGTTGATCGACTACTCATAATTTTGAAAATGGCAATGCAAAGGCAACAAGGTTTTTCTTGATTGCAGTTGGTGTCTGGTGTTTATGGGATGAGCGCTTGGTTTCTGGTTATCAAGCATTGTTTACACATCGAATCGGGGTTAAACTTATAAAAAATAAAAAACATCGAGGATTTGTACTTCTGTGTAATAATAACCTATTTTTAGACTATTTTGTTATAACAGTAAAAAAATACGGTCTGCACGTAAATTTCCCAATTTCCTTTTATATCCATAAAATTCTTTTCTAAAAATCTCACATTGTTTTTCCTCCACTCTCTTATCTATCATTTTATATCTCTCCCTCTCTCTCTTGAGGATTCTCTCTCACCCCCAACGTATCTCTCTCTCATGAAATGATATATGGCTCTACCCTGTAGCACACAAATAATGTTTCTATCCTACATAGGTACCCATTTTAGAAGGTGTGAGCTGAAAAATAGAGGGAAAAAAAATTGCAGATGACTTGCACTCACAACTTTTTAGGAAAGTATGAGATGAAAAAAAAAAATTAATATATTTTGTAGATTTTTCTATTTTTGAAGAACACAAGCCTAAAATTTTAAGTCATTTGGATTTATAGAAAAAAACTTAAAATTCAAACACTACCTGATATCCGTGTTCGTCAGATCGGCCCAAATTCAATCTGGGCCGTGAGCATTTACTGTAACAGTACGCCCATAGGCGTACAAGATATTTTTCCTATAT